TGAAGTATGCTTTACTCATATAAAAGTTTTTATACAACTATATACTTTTATATACTTATAGCATAAGTTTTTATTTATATTTTTGTTCTTGGTACAACTATTTTACGATAATACTTTAAATACGTGACGTAAGTTTGTGAATTGATATTATATGAACATGTATAGCATATTATGTTCTATAGTATATGATTATGAAGTACCTATAACTTGCTATCCTACAAAACATGTTTACAGTGAATAGCAATTAGAATCGTAATTATATTTGTATGATTAAATTTGTTGTATGTGTGAAAAATATCATTTAACAATACAATAGGTTTAAACTTTTGGACGTAATTATTATGCGGATAAAACTTATATAAACCTTTTGCACTTTTATGATAATATTATATTCTTGACATCACGATATGATTATTTTATTCCAGCTTTTGAAAAGGACACGAAACAATCTCTGGACACAAACTTTGATCATTAGCCTAGCTACGTGGATAGGAAAATACCCATTATCTAATAATATTACCTAAATAAATTCGAATAACGAAAAGCGGCGCCTCTTTTTATGCGTGGAATAATATAGAAAAACATTTAAAACACTATTCGTATATTGCAGACGTTTAAATTAATTCGATTACACGATTTTTACCTTSGCCGTGCTCTCTGGTACTTGTATCCGGCCCATAGTGCCCGTTGAATCCATCCTGGAAGCTTCGTTCACGGTGTTTCCCCAAATGTCGTACACGGGCTTTCGCGCTCCGATGACTCCGCCCACTAGGGCGCCGCAGCTTATTCCTGCCACACAAGAATCGATGAAAATAAAATAACACGAATCAAAGGATTTACTATAATATATAGAATGTAGATAGCAGCATTGTGATGAACAGTTCCCACCTGTTCCTGATTTTTGAACAGGCAAAAAAGTATATATAGATATAAGTACGTCGTACGTAATTGATATGCCTACAGAATTTTTTATTTGTACTGGTATTTAACGGCGATGTCTACATTATGCACATAATCGTCCATACCGTTATAGCTTTAATTTCATAATAATTTGGTAGTTTAGTGTACATTATACAGACATAGGGTGCCATTTATCGCACGTGTTAATCCTAATCTGGACCATATTTATATACATAACTTATTATAATATACATATATATATATATATGTCATATTCGTCTAACCACCTTCCAGCGATAAACTTAAGTTGCAAAGACTATAAAGCATATTGTATATACGTTTACATTATAATAATTGATTTCTAGATTTTTTCTCAACTTTAAGGAATCCATTGTATAAGTTATAGCACGGCCATTGATTAAAATTTRTATTTTATTGTAATTATTCTACAATTTTTCATCGTTGAAATTWTTTTGTTTCTTCTTTTATTCATAATAAAATCTAATATATTCAGTTAAATATTATTCTAAAAATTTTGTTCATATTTTATTAGGCGCGAGTTACATTTTAAATTAATATAATCAATTCAAACATATGCGAAATATWATGTTGAAATGTTAATCCTAATCGAGTTTSTTTTATGATGATTATTTTTTTATTTCTCAAGTCACTTTGTTGGTTCGATCATAATATGGACATAGATGTAGTTTATTTGTTCATCAATATTAAAAATGTTTCTACTATTTTTTTTTTACTAATTACTTACCAACCCTGAGCTGAAAGTTATTAAACGAGTGAACATTGACATCTTGTAAACATTGTTTCATAGCTAATGCGAAATCGACAAGAGCACAAAGGTGACTGTATTCRTCTTCTCCGTCCTAAAACAACAATGTTATGAAAATAAGAATTACCATTGCATCGATTATATATGTGCTAAATTATGTTTTTATGAATTAACTTTTAAGCTATATAGGAAGGTCAAAACGCAATACACACTATAGAAATTTAAATCAAACAAAACTAAGGAAATAGTACTTATTGCATATAGGTTATAAATTAGTTTTCCAAGAAAACATTATAAGTAGCTAGTAAGCGAGTTAAAAAAAAWAWWWTTT